AAATTAATTTATCTAAAATTTAAATTAAATTTTTTGATTGTTCTTTTTACTACATTTATTAAAAATAATAAAAAATAAATATTGAAATTTGAATTTTAAAGCATTTTCGGCAAATTAACTATTTATAGATTTTTATCAATAATATTTTCTATATATAAGTAAAGGCATGAACATGATAATAGACACTCAGTAAATGAAACATTTAAAGTACATAAGCATGCGGCTAGGATGTGAGTAATAAAATATATTGCAAGACTTGAAAATGAAAATCAACAGAATAGAATGACAAATGGCTGCTGGTGATGTGAACAGCTTTTTATCCAAAGAGTGAATACGATTTAAGTACTAGAGTACACACAAACAGACATACATATATACAGATACAATATATATATATATAGACATTCACCCACACACCCATACACACAGATAGATAGTAAGATAGATAGTTACAGAGAGAGATGGAGACACGCACAACAAGTTGAAAAGTGAGTCTAAGAAATACACCAATCGACGATTGAGTGAGAGTTCAATCAAATACAAGCGCACCACAAGGATTCGTTTAAGTATATATACTAAATGTCAAAATGTCAACAACATCAAATAGAGCTCAATGGATACGATTAGAGATATTAGAGATCAGTATACAATGAAAATCAAAATCAAATCAAAATATATATAAATGGATGAAACGTAGTCAAACGCTTACAACAGGCACTACGAAATGTGGAACTAACCTTCTTGACGCTGCGCGTGGTCGAAAAGCCATCGCCGCGTCTATAGTTGTCGCCCTGCAAGTAGAAAAGGAATGAATGAATGAATGTTGCTCTAAAATTGAAGCTGCCTTTCATCTCATTGGATGCTGGGACTCACCATCACCTGATGCGAACGCAGTGTACCAAAGTTGTCCCGTCCGCGATATGTCTGCTGGGTATTATAGCCGTCTGGTTGGAACTGGAAGAGTGTCTCCGAGTTGGGGCCCTGGTGCATCTGGTGCATGGGTGGCTTGCGCAGGGTATTCTTTGGCGAGTGCATCTTGTTCTGCGGTGGTGGCTGCGGTAGTAGCACCGGCTCCGCATACGTCACCTCCTCCACCTGTGGCAGCAGCTTCGGCTCCTGCTGTATGCGGCACGACGACGGGAAACTATTCGAAGAGAGCAGTTAGCTAGCCATAATCGAATATTACAACAATGGCCACTCACCTGTTCACATTTTGACGTTGCTCGAAGTATTCGTATTCCGTATCTGGATACGGCAGATTGTCATCCTCATCCTTGTGGCAGCGACGGCCACAGAAGTAGCCCGTAAAGAAGCCAACCAGCAGCGAGAATATCGAGCCGGCCAACACGGCCATAACCAGAGTCTCTACCGTATACTGTGCATTGATAATATCTGCAGAAATTTGTGGGCCTTTGATTAGTAAGTGAATACATTTTTGAATATGATCCAATTCAATCATATTATATTACGATACGATTTTGAGGGAGTGTATCCAATTGGTACATCGAACATCACAACGTGTATATATGTATATAACAGATATTTGTCAGGATCATGTTTGAAAGTAGGATTACGTGTACACAGAATCCGTTTACAGTTGTTTTTTTTTTTTTTTTTTTTTTTTTTAATTTATATTTTTATGTGTGATCACAGCAATAAACATCCAAACATCGAAAACACAACGAATAACGCCCAAAATAGCGCATGTTTTTTTAACGTTGAAACATCAATAAATGAAATGAAACAAGAGCAAGAAGAAGACAAAAACGAGTTAATACAAGGAACAACAGCAATTGAGTTAATTAGTTTTTGAAGTATAATATTCACAAGTGTAGTTGAAGTTGAATTATATCGAAAGTTATTAAAGATTTTTGAACTTAAAAAGTAATATTTATGTGGTCAAGCGTTTGTTAACGGATTAAATATGATACAATTATTATTAATATGTATGGGATTACGAAAAAACAAGCAATGTTTAAATGTAATCAAATGGTGGTTAATATATGATAGCAAAATTAGAAATGGCATGCAATAAAATATATTTATATATACTTCTATTTTTCACCTGATATGGAATAACTATTTCAAAATTCTTATATTTATAGAATTTACAATAACAATTTTTTATTCGATCGAGGTATCTATATACCATATAAACCAAGATTTGTAGTTTCTCTCATTAATCATCTAACCTATACTACATAGCCCTATACCACCCACTGCTTACACATTCATATAATACAAACTTCGGCTCATATAAAAACATGGCATAGATATTTAAGTGATGATAATATTAAAAAATGTGAAAAAGGGTGGAGAAAAAAATGAAAATACGTTTACTGTTAAGCTGCATTCAAGTTGATGATGATAATAAAGCAACTAGAATAAAGTGCTGGGTAAATGTTGATTGAAATTGAAAAGCATGAAGTGGCAATAAGCAAAGGACAGATGTCAGCATGAAGGCGAGGTGAATGGGCATGCCCATGCTGGCTGGCTGGCTGCCTGACAAGCACCTGGCGTGCAATAGGGAAAACCCTGAGTGATATGAAAATGTGATTTAAAAAATGACAAACGACGGGTAAATAAAATATATTTACTGGCTGTGCTACAACAAAATCTGAGTGATAGCAACATGCAGGGCAGAACGTAAAGCAAAATATATTTATATACAATATGTACATGTATATGTATATGTATATGTCATACCTTCAAAATTCTTATCAATATTGTCTATGATTTCCTGATCCTTGCTCTGGCGACGCGAATCCAGTAAATCCATGTCATTGCGGAAGCCCTTCTGCTCACCCACGTTGGCATCCTTTGAATTGATTTTGCCTGAATCCAAATACGGCACAGTTAGAGCTTTAATTTAAATCAATGTGTGTGTGTGTGTGTGTGTGTGTGACTCACCTGAGGGACAGGCTGCATGCTGACCGGTCGCCACATTCTGATAGAAATAGTTCTCCTCCAGCCAACGCGGCGCACCATGGGAGCGACACTTGCCAGCAATTTTGTCCCAGGCACAATACGGATCCTGCAATGCGACGCATTCACTGCAAAGGGTAAGAGATGGTGGACTCTTGAGAGGAATGCTCAAATGGCAATGGTGTAAACATATTGCAAATTGTGAAATGTAAAACGCCATAAATGCGCATAAAGTGCTAGCATATTGCAGCAGCAACAGCTGCAGACGGACAAATGGCTGGAGATACTGTTTTCCTCTCTTTCTCTTCTCTCTCTCTCTCTCTCTGTCTGTCGCTAACTCCTGCTCTGTCTGGCAGACTTCGCTTGAAAGTCACGCAAATTGTTACATGAAATAAAAATGTCATTGTTTTTGCTGTTGCTGTTGCTGCTGCTGCTGCTGTTGCTGTTGCAATTGCTGCTGCAGCTGTCGCGACGCGTCGCTTCAATCTGTTTCATATATGTATGTATTTGGTATACTATATTTCGTTTTTCTCCGTGCTCAGCAGGTGTATGACGCTTACCTGCAGCTGGTGATTTTGTCATTGTGACATCGATGCAGTTGTATGGCTATCACCTGACTATCCGTGACAATGATTAATTTGCCATCGTCGTAGCTGCCATCTTTCGGTTGATCTGCGAATCGTATTTGATACAATGAGAGCTCGTTACACATTCCATTTTTAATTGACTCTTATTGGATGGGTCTGCCGCCCCGTTCCACTCACCGTATTGCATAGTTCGCACAATTTCCAAATTGCGTATGGGCTCACTCTTGGGCAGCACATCGATCTCCTCAATGACCACCGATGTCACCTTTTCGGCCGAGTCAGCTGATTCGGCATTCACGGACTTTATAATTTTTCCATGGTCTAAATTGAGAAAAGCAAAGAAACAAGAAGAGAAGAAATTTAAATTAAGAAAAGCCATTTAAGTTCAAGTCGTTTCTATAATTTAAGACTCCCAGGCACTAGACTGATAAGAATCCTATGAGCAATAAACTATGTATCCTAGCTAAAACGATTCTAATGAATACAAGGCCTTTATTAATTTTTTTTGCTTAGGCAGGGCTTTAGAAATTTTGTTCAAAAAATATATTCAAGAAATTCTGTTTCATTTAGAATATATTTCTTTAAATATTTAAATAAAAATACCTTTAAAGTCGAGATATATCTCAGAAAAAGACATTTCCAGCTAAATATGTTCTGTGTTAATAGCTAGATTTACTATTTGCTGGATAATAATATTCATATATATATGCATATACATATAGCCTATGTGCCCGCCCGTCATCAGCGCACAGACACCAATATCCTTTGGGAGCACATTCAGACACTGATATCAGCCATAACGACAATCGATGTCAAACGAAAATTGACCCTGGGGACCTCGACAATTGGCCATATCGAATGCGACTCACCTGTGCCAACGAAAATCACATCATACGTCTTGCCGCCGGGCGTTTTGATCTGTGCGTCGACTGCGATTTGTGTGAAGCGATAACTGTAAATAAAGAGAGCAAAAACACAATATGAAAATTAAATTTCTGAAGTTGGCGTAAGCTTTAAGGGCAGAAATTTTCCTATGAAAAAGGGCCTGTTGCTGTCTGTTCCAGCCCTATCGGGCCAAGAATAAAGCAACCAGTGGGCACCGCCCTAGATATGCCAAAGATGACGAGATGATGGAGAAGATGGAGGGCAATTATAACTCTCCTGCTCTCAGTAATAAAAGTTCATATTTATGAATCCATAGTATTTAAATTCAATTTTAAATTAGATTCAATACAGAAACGCCAAAGTGGATATTTTAAATAAATTTGATTTGTTAACAGTTCCATGAACGAGCCGCAATAATATATATAGAGATTTAACTTTGTTAGTCTTTAACCTGTTGAGATACTATTTATGTTTCAGCATTAATAAATGATTGAGCCACATTGAAGTCTAGCTAAGATTTTCCAAAGTTAAAGAGCTTGTTTTCAGATCACACTTATGGCATTGTGCAAGGACAATCTTTGCTCATCGTCCTACCTACCTAATAGCGTACTTATCAAAGTTTTTTAGTTCTATGCACAAATTGAAACCGCAAACAACATGTCAATGCTGCCAGCGCTGAATGACACAACAGGACACTTTTTGGATAGGCGGTTGGTTTTTCGGTTAGACACCATTAATAAAGGACAGTCAGGAGAGAAGGAAGAGAGATAGATAGAGAGAGAGAGAGAGGGGGGGGGGTATAGCTGGTCGCTGCAGCAATGGTGAGAATGACAAACAGAATGGCAGAAAACCACAACAGCGGTAGCAGCAACTGCAACAGCAACAGCAGCAACAATTGCTGCTGCTATGTGTGTATGTGTGTGTATGTGTTTGTGCATTTGTATTTATATGTAAAAACATATTCGAGCGAACAGCAACAAAAGACATGAAAATAAAAACGGAAATTTCTCTCTGATTTCACCACAAAAATGTTGAACGTTAGCATTTGTGTTGTTGTTGTTGATGCTGTTGTTGTTTGTGTCCTTGTTGCAAGCAACATTTGTGGCTGTGCGCTTGGCTGCCTTGTCTATTGTTGTTTTTTTGTGCAACGGTTTTATGTATTTGAGCTGTGTGTCAGTTGTTGCCTCGATTTAAATGCAAATGCTCGCCATGGACAACTTTAGCAACAGCAACAGCAGCAGCAACAGCAACAGCAACAGCAACAGCAACAGCTACAGCAGCAACATCAAATGGGTCCAACTGGATGACGCCTGCATGGCAGGCATTGTGCATTGTTTTATTGTTAATTAACAAATCTAGTTTTTTGAGCTTTAGTTATGTTTCCCAATTTTCTAAATGGCCAAAGAATTGCATCGCTTTTTTGGCCTGGCCAGCAACGACCCAGCCATCTGGCTTAAATGGCCTCCATTTTGTGTTGACTGTTGCGGTCTGTCTCGCTGGCTATGTGTCCCGAGAGCTGGGAATAAACTAAAGCGTGTGTGCCGGGCCCAGATAGGGCCAGAGCTTAAACTCAAATTGAAAAAGTTTGCCAACAGATCCCATAGGCCTTGATTGTGAAATAATAATGGCAAGCGAATATATTTTAGAATCCAAACTCGTTTCGAACTGCTGCAGGATTTCGCATACTGTTAGTCTAGTAGGTTGATCTAATCGACATATCAATTTGAAATCAGATAAACTATAAATGGTATTACTAGATCGAATGAGATTATTTTTTTGCTCTATTTAAATAAATTTTATAACTAGAAAAATTTATTATAATAGACATAAATTTAAGTTAGGTTTAGTCTCATATCATATCATGTTCGTCATTCTTTGGGCAGTGAAAGTTTTCAATTAAAGAAACAATAAATAAATATATATAATATTTAATGGAATACGCGCTGAAAGCAAAGTTGAGGCGGCTTATAAATTAATTCCCAGAGCATCAAAAGCAACGGAATGATACGAAATGAGTCCAAACAAGAATGAAACAAGCAGAAATGGATGACGGGGACAAAAGTCCAATGAATGGCAATGCAAAAGTGCTGCCAAAAAGGAAAAAAAATCAACAACTTTTGCTGGCCGAAAATTACAAAATGGCAAAAGGCCATGCCAGCACGAAATACAACAACAACAACAACAGCAGCGAAATAAAATAGAATGAAGATACATGGAAAAAATAGAAGAAGAGAAAAGAAAAGCAAAGAAAAGGACAGTTTTAGAGGGGCAGGTTAGGGTTTGAGTTCTTCTGCTAGCAGCTGGCAATTGAAACTTGCACAATTTTTGCCAACTTTTGTGTCGCTCCGATGAGCTTAGACCCGGCGTTGCTGACAACAACAACAAGAACAACAGCAGCAGCAAAAGTAACGGCAACAGCGATGAGGGTCACAAGTGGAAGTCAACTCTATTCGCAATGGAATGAAATTAGTGTGGGCAAAGCCAGAGCCAAAGCTCACGGTGTCGTTGCGAGTCTGTGGCTGAGCAGCAGCCGGCGGGCAAGGACATGCATGATAAAGGCCATGACAGTAAAAGTGGCAGAGGTATAAAAACTTGACCGATAAGATAAGCACACACAACAGCATTGTGGCTGGCACCTTGGCAATGGCACTGGCACTGGCCCTGGCCCTGGCACTGGATCTGGCAATGGTACTGCGTCTGTCAGGCAAAAAAAGGATGGCCAGGATATGGTCAACCAGCTGGCAGAAATCTGTCGAGTATGGATACTTCCGGGCCGACCAGGAAACAATTTGTTACAGAGACGCTGACCCCAGCGACTTGCAACTTGAAGCATTTAACTTTTGTGAAGCTTCTAAAACTTTTCAGTTATATAGGAAACTTTCTTGACGCTGCCAACTCGGCCCAACCCCGGCAGAGTCCGGCCCAGCCAGAGTCCAGCCTCCCCTGGCATATGCAAATGAGTATCCTGCGGGGTTTGAATGTGTGCATTGGTATAACTGTTTATGTGTGTGTGTTTGTGCTACTTCTGGCTTCGTACATGCGCCTTATTTATTCACTAACACTCACACACACAATGCCCTCAAAGAATGTTTTTACTCAAATGAAATTGTAATAAATTTATGCTTTAGCCGAATGTCAAAAATTTTGTTCATTTTTGATTTGATTTCGGCATTTGTGTTCAATAATGCCACAGAAACACAAAACCAAAATCGAAAACCTATCAAATTATTTGGCACCAATTCCAGATTCTTCCTCTCTCGCGTTTGCGTCAAATTTTATATTTGATCAACAAATTTGTGTGGGCTTTGAAGCTTTTAGAGCATTTTAGTTGCCTCCGTAAATGGACAAATAAACTTACATATTTATATCCACTAAAACAGACAGCATAGATATGCAGCTTATCTTCATCTCATCTCTAGACAGGTCCATATACAGAGGCAGCTAAACTGCTCTCTGAGATTTTAAGCCCATACAAATTTCGTGTTAGTAATCTATATCAGAGCACATTATATATGAATAATATTATTAAATTTTATTCATATTATTTTTGTAAGCGTGTTTTTTTAAATCTGAGAAAAACAAATATTCTTAATAAATACCTATAAACATTTCCCTTATACACATCACATTCAACTAATCAAAATTTATTGAATTTCTAGATTCACGAATGACAGCTGAGGTTGCCTTTAAGTAAGTCCATTGCAATCTGCTTTCACTTTGCTCCACTCTCGTGCTCATTCTCGTTCTCGTCTGCGACTTGATTCAATGATAACAAATTTTGGCAGCTAAACTTGTCAGCTCTGGAAAATAAGCTCAATAAATGTGAGATAAACACACAAATCTTGTATTGGATGCTGCCTGGCAGCTGTAGCATTGCACCATATCTAGCACATTCGCTCAGCTGTGACTTTCATCATCTTTAACTGCGGTTCGTGTCAGGCCAAAGGATTTGGCGAGTTTATCAACTGTATGCGTGTGTGTGACAAATGTAACTGTAACTGCAATTGAAGCTACTGTGCGCTTGTGCATGACCGACTTACGCGCTGGGAGAAGCCAAAAAAAGCTAGAAAAAGTATCAATTGGGTTGCCAAATAAGTTTCAGCGTAACTTTTAAGCTTTTCAATTGCGCTGGGCATGATTAAATTCTGATGCATGCCGTCTCAAATCGCGCTTATTGTGAGCAGATCTGGCCAAAAGCACAATAAGTCAGCTGCAGTGCAAGTATATGGCCAAAAACGAACAAGTCCTTTGCCAGCATCCAACGGAAGGACACGCAACCATTTCGCTAATGCCACTCGCCCGCACACAGCATTTGTTGTGGTCTCCTCATGTGTGTGTGAGAGGTTGGGGTTTGTGCTTTGGTTTTGGGCGGTTGAGTGGCTGCTTGGCTGGCAGTTGGTTCCGGTCCTACGTGTTCCATATTTCATTCTAATTTATTCAGTTGTGCATACATATTTTCGTTACGGGTTGCCTCAGCGCATCCATGCATTTCCTTCTGGCTGGCTCGGTTCGTTTGGTTCAAACTATCGCTTGACTGCAGCAGCAACGGCAGCAGCAGCCGCAGCAGGTGCCGTCGGCACCACTATCACACCGACACACCACGCTGCCATTCAGCACCGCTCTGCTTGGCTCTGCTCAGTGGCTTGCATATGATTTACTCTTTAAAGTTCACCGTCGCCCCGTCTCAGCAGCCCGTAATTGTGGCTCAATTACATGGAAAAGTTGCCAAATTGAATTTTTAAATTTCCACATGTCTGCGAGAGAGTCTTGAAAATAATTTATGAGCATGCAGAAAAGGCCCAGACTCAAGCTCCGACCCAGCTGGACCAGCTGTAGTAAAGGCCTGAAACATTTCTTGATGCTTCAAAAGCCAATTTCTCTATAAAGAGTAAATGTGGGAGTGTGTGTGTGCATGTGAGAGCGTGTATGAGTGCTTGAATACATACACAGAGTTGCTTTCTTTTTGAGCAAAATGATTTCATTGTGGCGCAAGCATTTTGAGTGCACAGCGTATATCACAAGCTGACTCTTAAAGCTCTTTCGAAAAGTTACTAAAAGCCTTTGAAGTCCTTCGACATAAATGGAAATTAATATTTTGATTTAGTATTGATTTACATTTACATTACTTAAGAAAAAAGAAAAAAGAAAAAAATTCTGGGAAAATGTGTGAATTTAAAACGCAACTTCCTGGGAAAGGAATCGAAATTCACTTGAAGAACAAAAACCAAATGTTTGTCGCATATATGAAAATTATTGACCCTAACTGATATGTGTTTCCTGTGAAAACAGTAAGTTACATATATGTGCATATATGTGTACATACATATATTAAAATATATTTTAAATGAATTTTCTATACAGATTGTCAGATGGACTATTTAATACATATATTAAATATTAATAATATATTTGTGCAATTAAATTTTTTTAAATATTGAGAACACTGAGGTTGACTATTTATTATATTTAAATATTTGAAATCTATTTCTCGCAATTATATATTTTTTTAGTATTGAAGAAATATGTGCATTTTAAATGCAATAAAATAAAAGATGTATATCTAACCGAATTTTAATAAATATATTGGGACACTTACTGATTTATGTATGTATTTTTTCTATAGCTTAAATTCCAAATATATTTTTAATACAATTATCACATGGGTTAGCTAAATATACCAAATCGTTTCACTCAACAACTTCACACGCTTTCGTCTGTCAATTCTTTCAATTTGAAAGCTCTTAGCTAGAAATGGCTATATTTTTCTTTTTTTTTTTTTTAGCCAATTTTGAGCTGCAGCAGCAGCGATTACGACAGCTGCATGCGAAAAGTTGTAGCATATCAGATGGCGAAGAATTTGTTATTTAAATGAAATTAGTTGAATTGTGGGGCACTGAAATTGGTTTGTCACGTATTCACTTGGCCACATCCGCAGGAGCAGAGGCAGCGGCAGAGGCAGCGGCAGCAATGCCAGCTGCAACTGCAGTTAAAGTTTTTTGCAATTCACACATGGAATGCATGCCCAGCCCTCCCTCCGCCCCAGCCCGAGGCACGCCCACGTCCTCAACTAAGTTATGAGCACATAGTTTTTGGCAATAATATTTACATTGCCGCAGCACTATGCGGGGCAACGTGCCGCCCGTGCAACATAAGCAGCAGAAGAAAGCGTTGCATACATATATATTTATATACATTTATAGAAATTGTGTGTGTGTGAGAGAGAGAGAGAGAGAGAGAGAGAGAGAGAAGTACTTACATTGTGCTCGTCCGCACTAAAATCGGTTGACCGAAAAATGCCGGAACATTCTCGTCCATTAGCGAATGTGTTTTGATGAAATTTAATGTGGGATCCGGAAGCGTTCGTGAATCATTGTGACAGGCGCCAGGACGCGGTTCGGGCACCTAAAAATGTCCATGACGAGGACAGAGAGACCGAGCAGAGACACAGAGAAAGAGAGTAAAGAGAAAGAGAGATTTAATATAAATTATTAGTATCCTTCAGTATATGACTGCAATGTGGTTATGGTTATGGTTATGCTCGGTCAGTTATAGCTGCTCCTTGGCCTGCTGCCTCCTGCCTGCTGCCCGCTCTATCTGCTCCTCATTTCTTGCCACAGAAGGGAGCGTATAAATTGCATTTGCGGCGTTCGCGCTGCTCGTAACAAATACCCGTACACAACGTTCCGGAAATTGCTCAGCACGGCCAAGTGCAGACGGACAAAGCAGCGCCGGAAAGTGTCCTTTGTGCGAGTATGTCTGTCAGCGTGTGTACGTATGTGTGTGTGTGTGTGTGTGTGTGTGTGTGCTCGCTGTCTGTGAGCTTTCTGTTTTGGCAATGATTTGGTTTATGAATCGCCAGCGGAAAATGCCCGCTCGCATGTTGACTTCGCTGATTCGTGTGTGTTGTGTGGGAATTATTAAGCATCAGGCAACTCCTTTTATAGCCATACAGGATGTATTGGTCATATGGTTGACAGTACAGAACAACCAGTCTTGCCTTGTATGAAATGTATATGATTATATGACTCTGGTGGCCAGAGTAATTACAATGTTAGCTTTTTATTGTTCGTGCACAATATCATAAAATTGGTATCAAATTGAAATTGACAGAAGAGACACTTTCCTATTACATAATTCATTAGTTTAGCAACAGTTATATCATTCAGAACGGGGTTTTTTGTTGAGGAGAGGCAGATATAAAATAGCTGTTTGTAGATTACATGAATATTCTACCTATATTAGGTTCATGACTGAATTAATGAAATTCTTTTGCAGCTTTGCATTTTTGCTGACCTGACGTATAATTGGGCTTGTTTCTACCGTAATTGTGGTAGAGAGTTGAATTGCACTTCCGTCTACCAAGACAGACGGCCAGCGGTTGCTGCTGTGAGCTCTTCCAGTGTTATATTAAAAGTTTTACGCATTTCAAAGTACGGTCATTGTTTCGAATTTCAAACATCTTCAATTTCTAATTTGGCTCTGCATGAACCGCAAATTCCGTTGGCCAAAAACCAAAATGCCAGCCGTTAGCAGCATGTGCAGTCAGAGCTGACTGCCATTTCGGCAAATACATTCGTAATTCAAATGCAAATTTTTGGCAAAAGAAAAGTACATTTATTCTTTTTTTTTTTTTTTGGTTTCTTGTGGCTATAAATTGTGAAACAGCTGCGCTTAACTGCTTTTCCGCTTTCGATGTGAAAGTGAGCATTAACCGAGCCACACCCAATATTATATATGCAGACGTATATATGTATATATGAGTGTAGTATATATTGATAACTGCAATAGTGGTACGCACCTTGGCATTATTTACTGGCAGCCAGTTGGAGTTGATGCCGCTCTGCTCCTTGAACTGTCCCTCGAACGTGTCGGCAATGTCCTGTGGTTAGCAACAGCATGCGATGGTGGATGAAAAGGGATGAGACGGAAGAGAGTGAAAGGGAGAAATATACACAAGTTAAGGTCTGGGCCGCAGTTCAGGTAAATCGTAATTGTGCACTCACCTGCAAGGCAAAAGCACAAACCGCTGAGCCGGGAATTGAATTTGTTGGCGTATTAAAAACGCCATAAATCAATTTGGAGCTCATGGAGCCGTACTGTCCCTCGACGAGATTGCTAGCCGATTCTGTGGGCAGCAAAATATATATATGTATATATCAAATATTATGTGAATCAAATTCAAAGCTATGCCCAGCCACTTACGTATCTCATTAAAGTAGAACGGATAGTCGCCCGGTATGGAGCAGTTCAGGCGGGACTTGAGGAACGAGGTCCAGCGATTGCGAAAGCGATGCGGGCCGCCCTTATCCCATTTGCAGACGCGTGCGACGCGCGAATAAATCGCCTGAAATGCCAGAAAAGATAAATATTAATCGGGTGCAGGCGAACGAGAAAGAGAACGAGGAGTCGAAAAGGGCGGCAAATGCAGCTAATCGGTCCATTGATGTGGTCGCATCCCAATAGAAAACCAACAAACGCGGCCCATAAACAAATAGCCGGTAAAATCCAAAACCGATAACTGTATTTGGCCATTGGACCAAAGCCAAAGCCAAAGCCATGGCCAAAGCGAAAGCACGAGCCGGAAGTGTGCACGCATAAAGCAAACACAAGCAAAATGGCTGCCCAATATGGCGGCGTTAGAGCCATATCCGCTCGCTCTCGCTCTCTCTTTCTCTCATTCTCTCTCACTCTTCGAATCTAACCAATTACATTTGTTGTCGATACGAATTTATTTTGGTCTACTGCCAGCATATTCCGATCGATTCGCGGTACTCACCTTGCCACAGTTGATGAATTCCACAGCCGTTTCCCGAAAGAAGAAGTAGACGAAATCCCCCTGGGTAAATGAGCTCACAAAATTTGGCGCTGCAAATTGAGAAAAATATATGAAATTATATAGAATAAAACTCAGAGATGAGCAAATGCGTTAAAAAGTTAAGTCATAAATTCCATTTATAGTTTTGGCTGTAAACAATTTTTATGGTCACCAACCAGCCTCATAGGATTCTCACAGAGTTTATATGAAAGTCGTGCGGACGAATCGAATCGATATCGAGTGTCAGTCTTAGACATTAAATTTAATGCGTAGCGCATGAAGCATAAAATTTTATGCGAACTCAAATGCATGCAGAATCTGACATAGATTTGCAAAATGATAACAAATACATACATATACATACATATGTATATAGCTCAAGGCTAAGATGTGAAAGCCAAGACAGATTAGAGTTAGCATATAGTCAAACGAGTATCTTTTGATTTATATAAATGAAATTTCCTTTGAAAATTGCAGATAATATTCTTTAAAGTCTATGTGCATATTGTACTCTTTCATGGGCAGTTTCCATTTGGCAAACATAACTTTAAGAGCCTTTGGTCAGAAAGTCACCTGCAACGCGAGGCGGCATAAAATATTCAGAGTGCGCATAAAGCAAAACGGTCGATGGATGAGCTTGATATATCTCGAAATAGTAAAGGACAACCAACTGGCGGGCAGTCAAAGCTGTCATGTCTATTCGGTTAATGGAAGCTGACCATATGAAAATCGTAGCGTCGAGCGCCTGAAATATGCAAAAGGCAACAGCGCGCAGTGTGACTTCGAATCAATGGCTGCCCGAGCATTGGGAGAGGCCACTGTGATGTGAGACACTCACACACACACACACACGCAGACACACAAACTCTCACAATCGGACTTAATTCAATTCAAGTGGCGAGCATTTCGCTAATATAGAGAGAGCACACTGCACAATAATAATCATAACAGAGCCGACATTTCAATTACGACGAGTGCCAGTGGGAGGCTCTTAAAGAGAAGGCGTGCTGCAGATGGGAGCTGGAAATGTTGTAAACAACTTACCATTGAGACTGAGGCTATCATATTGTTCCGTTTGGAGAGGCTCACGATAGATAATCGGATCACTGCCGCTGAAATCTGCCACAGTGCCTGAGTATAATTCGTTGTCTGGAAAAAGCAGAAGGAGAGAATTTGTTTGATTATACTGTGAAATAAATAAAATATTTATAAAGACTTTATGAGAGAGCGGCTGAATAAAGTTGATAAGCTAGTAAAACTTATATGAAATCGTGTCTAGCAATTGATCACCCCAATTGTAATTATTTGATACATGCATTCACCACTCCAATCAATCTCTCAAGTCAATTAAAAATCAGTTACGGTAAATGTTTTGCCCATCAAATTTCGACTCTTTCCGCGCACTTTTATAGCCGCGCATAAATCGCGCCTGGAAATTTGTTATGCATAATCCAAAGTATCGTTATTATCTGCTTGTAAATATTTTAGGCGCATTATATAAGAGAAATGCGACCAAAAATGGCGCTAATAAATGTCAATTACACGTCGCATTTTATTAAGTGTAAATGATATTTTTTATGTGCAAATTTTAGCTCACATTTGCAATGCAATAAACTTTTATTTTGCGTGTCGCATGGACGGAGGACCAGGACAGGCGGACGAGGGCGTGGCAAACTGTTAGCTTTGGCCAATTTACGTAACTAAAATATGCAAAAGACTTGAGACAGAGCCAGAGCCATAGCAAGAGACACAAATTACGTATTACTGAGAAATTTGTTCAGGTCGACGGACCGGGCCAGTGCCGAGTCGAGTCGAGTCGAGTCGAGTCGAGTCGAGTCGAGCCGAGCCAAGCGAATAAAAACAATAAAATTTTAATCAATTGTTGCTTTATTCTCTGCGGCACTTGCGCTCATTACACATACGCAACGCTGTGTACATGCGGACCAAAATGAAAATGCGAATTTGCGAGGAAAATTTAATTAAGTTAAACGAGAAAACACAACACACAATACAACAGAAGCGGCAGCAAAACTTTTGACATGTCTTCGGCGACATTGAATCGCCCTGCGGCCAGAAGGGAGCAGTGAAGTGTCCCTCTCTCTGCCTCAGCGCAAGATAAATGAGTTTTTTCTGCCTCAACTTTTTACTTACGGAATTGCCTGACTGCCTGAGCCTGCGCCTGTGCCTGTGACTGTGCCTGTGACTGCCTGCTGGCTTTGGCATTGTCAAACTTCAATTCCACGAGCAAAAGAAATATGAAAAAACACAACAACAACACGAAAAGAAAAAGAAAAGAAATACACAGAGCAGTAGTAACAACATTAACAACAACAACTACAGCAACAACAAGTAGATCGGGCAACCGGAAATGCCCAGCAAGCTGGCTACGTTGCCCGTTTATTGTCTGGCCGGAAATGGTTTTGCCTTCGGCTCGATACAGCAGCCGCACCCCTAGCACTGCGAGTGCCCAATGGAGCTCATTGCCAGCCGACGGCTCAATGACAGAATCGATTGCTATGTTGGCTTTGTACGCTATGCCCGCTGGCGCTTTGGCCAAAAGTTCGAGAGCAACAGCGGCGAGTCGAGCAAGCCAAACGCCACATTATCGTTGCATCTACAAGTAGCACAGGGCCAGCGAAAGGGGCGGCGAAGGAGGACGGCAGCAGAGTGTGCTCGGGCACACTACTCGGCTGGACGTTGAAACAAATCTTCCAACAGTCTGTGGAAATTTTTGCATAATGTTTGGGTTTGTCAGGCATCTGACAAGGCAGCCGGTAGACATTTTCCCTTATGCAAACAAGCTAAAGTTATTTTGCTCTCTTTAAAAATTTGTGTAATTACCCACACATAGAGATACACACACACACCCACACAGGACAGAGAGTAATTCAACCAAAGCACTCAGCAACAGCCGAAGGAAAAATAATGAAACTCTGACAATAAATTATCTTTTTAATTTATCAAATCTATTGTACACGATACCAACATTAGAAACTAAGACCACATTTCCTCAATTTAAATAGAAATTCTAGACGTGGCAGAGCTGAAGCAAGCAGAACTTGGCTATTTACGCCATCGCCGAACAACATCCTCGATAGTATAGTGGTTAGTATCCCCGCCTGTCACGCGGGAGACCGGGGTTCAATTCCCCGTCGGGGAGAAATGTTTGATTTTATTTTTAATTAAAAAAATATATGTATGTATATACATATTTGGATTGACTATGAATTTAATTTTTATTAATAACAATTTAAATACAAATCTTCTCTCGTCTATAATATTTGAATATAAGAATATACGTTTAAATATTGTTATTTTAGCTAATATAATTAAGAATATAAAATTATAAAAAATAAAAATTAAATAAAAAAGCAACTTGTGTCGCCTCTCCCCGACGGGGAATTGAACCCCGGTCTCCCGCGTGACAGGCGGGGATACTAACCACTATACTATCGAGGACGCTGACGGATTTTTGCCAAAACTATCAAACATTCTGATAACACATTTTGTATGTCATAAAACCTAATATAATTATATACTAATAATATTTATGCATTTATTAAGAGCTATAAATAAATTTGATTTAGATAACATCAAATCTAATCTAAGCATATTTTTAGCGCAATACGCACAGCTGATAAGTTCTCTTTTTTATTTTTTGGTTCCAATGTTCACATAAAAATGCTGAATACACATACATATTCATTAATTTTTCACCTGAATTAAGGCTGCAAATCTGATGGTATTTGTGTTTGCTGGCTATTATCGGATAATCGAACAATTTTCCAAACGCCTGAACTCATCAAATATGGCTAAAAGCCCCACCAAATTGACAACATATTGTGATGGGGCCTAAGCCAGCGGCTCAGCGTGTAGGGTTAGCTGGCAGTTTGGACACACAAATGCCGCAAACTGTCCAACAATTTATGCAAAACTGTGAAAATTGCATAATTATAAAAAAAAGCTTACATGAATTTGATGCGTGCATTATAATTTCATGTTAATTCACGTACACACGCAGCCAGGCGAGCGAGCGGACGGGATTTGTGGACTTTTGTGGATTGCGGAGGGTGTGAAATCTGTGCGGTAAATCGATAAAATTTACAATGCCACAGCGGCTCACGCACGCAAACAGACACGTGTACGCACGCCAAATGGGGGCCGGGGTGGCGGTGCGTTTAGGGGCAGCTCTCAAAAGTGAATATAAAATTTGAATTACGTGACAAGAGCGCAACAGAATGAAAATGTCGAAAGCAAACTAAAAAGAAACGCAACACAAAACTCCAAATGCGAGTCGACAGCAGCAGCAGCAGCAGCAGCAGCAGCAAGCAGAAAGCAGAACGGGCATACATTAAAAATGTCGTCTGGTACAAATTAATTTTGCCACTCGCCAGCCGCCTCGCCGCGCTGGCGCCCCCAGGCGCCCATAACATGCCCGGAGCCGCCCCTTAACGGGCGGCTGTTTAAATTAAGAGGCTGTAAAAGTCACGCGGTGAGTGAAAAGTAAAAGCGTTCGTTCGTTCGTTCGCTCTTCATAGAATCTGCTGGCAGCGAATTTCCCATTCGTGGTGGTGATAAATAACGAATGCTAATTTTCTATCATGAGCGCGCCAGGGGCAGGGGGAGGCGGAGAGCGGCGGGCAACTGAAGTGCACTGGCTGCGGGCGCCAGCATGGGCCAGGTGAAGCTAACGGCCAATAAAAACATTTGCTAAATATGCGCAGAGGGGAAGCGAGAATGGGCGTGAGGCCGGGAATGGGCGTGTCAGCTTTGTCGGCAAGTAACCGCTTTAAGCTATAACCAGAGCTTAAAGTTTTGTCATTAAACTTTTTTCCTAGGAAATTGCTAGAAAATGCAAATTTCCCAAATTGAAATACGAAACGAGGCATAATAATGCTTCCCAAAAAAAGGAAAAAGAAATCCAATTCTCACGGCTGAGTTGCCCAAAATGAGGTCTATGAATGAATGTAAAGATTTCCATCATATTCCTTCTCGTCTATGATAAATTAGCCAAGCATTATAGACAGAACAACAAATCAGAGCAGTCAATTGTGCTTTTAATCACAGTCCATTTACAAGAGATTTAGCTTTTTGTTAAATAAGAATTTAGAGCATATTCATATTAGGGGGCTCGAGATGAAGTTTGTCGGAGTTTATGAAATTTGCATACATATAAGATTACCCAGCCAAGCATGATGCTTGAGTTATCACAGCCTTTGGCAGCGCCATATAAAGTGGGTGTGCCACAGGGCGTTGAGGTCAAAGGGCAAATGTAAAATTTATGAATCGCTGGTAATTAACAATGGAAATGCAATTTACATCGTGACCAGAGTTGCCATTGTCGCTGCCGTTGGTCGCCATTGCCAGCTAACGAGGCGCACTATAAACACGCCACCGACCCCCCCCCCCCCCCCCCCAAATGCTCCACCCACCACTCCGGCCGTATTTGCGCCACCCTCCCATACCCTTGCTGCTGCCTGTCACAATATCGACAGAACACGAAAAGTTTTCGACGTTCACACTCCTCCTAACTTTCCCATTCTGCTTGGTTTCGCCGTCTTTGGCTATATCGTTTGTTCTCTTTGGGACCGTGCTTGCATCTAATTGGTTTTTTCGTTCAGCTCATTTTTTATATACCCAGTATTTGCTCTCTCTTCTTGCCATACCGAAGAAAATACTAATTGGTATACAAAAATTCTCTTTTCGGATGAAAGAGATATATAATCACTATATAAAAGCCTTACATTTCAACTTTTCTTCCCATCCCGCTTCGTCTTCTCTCTACAGGGCATCTGTTCTTCGCGCTCACTCGCTTTACAACACTCTTTCTTGTCGCCATTGTTTCGTGCAGCGACATTTGCTTTTATTGTTTGCTCATTACCTGGCGACGAGCACAAGGAGCGAACCAAACGCTACCCGGGACCTGGAGCACGGCCGTGCCCGGGACTCCAACTCGGACTCCGCACTCGTTATTCGTACCCGCAACAACTGTCAGCGTTGCCAGCTTGTCCGCATTGCAGCAATTGCAGCGCTTAACTCATTTTAAATGACAATCTAGCGTGCAGAAATTATGCAGCAAAGGCAGGCATACAAGCGTCCCTCTCTCTCGCTCCCTTTTGCTACGTCAAACAGCCGCCTCTCTTGGCGCTTCTCATAAAGTTACTTTTGTGCTTTGTGAGCAGCGAT